TGTATACCTAAAATGTACCACTAAAAGAATTTTTTTAAATGATTAAAATGAATAATTGATAATTTGAAATAGGAAGAAAAGGTCCAAAGGGGTAAGGGTGGTGGGAGGGGAAGGGGAAAGGAAAGAAGGGAAAGGAAAAATTATGAGAAAAGGAAAAACATAGAAACAAAGTCTATGTAAATAGAGAAGCATGGAGGGGGTGAAGGGCACACAGGTAATGGGGGAAAAAATAAGAACCAAGATACATCATGTACAGGTACAAGCACCCAATGATAAATGTACATGTATTGTTTACCTAAAATGTACCAATAAAAGAATTTAAGAAAAAAAAAGTCTCTTTCCCTTTTTCCCAAAGATTTTTAAACTATGCATATAATATATAACTATGGGTATAATTGTATCTGTTATGTCAAATGTGATAAATATAAATAACTTTCTTAAAGAAAATATAAAGGACACATTGAGGTGATTTCCCTAAGATAAGTGTGCAGTACAAAGTGGGACTATCATGCCTGCCTCATTTGATTTCACTTTCTCAGAGCTCAGCCATTTAGGTACTGGTATTGATAGTGAAGTGCTATACAATAAGACAGGCCCATGCCTTGCCTCCATTTTTTTTTTTTCACAGAATGTTTTGTTTTGGATATGTAAATTTGTGCTGCTGGACTCCTGTCCAATGTATCAAAATGGTTCCTGGGTGTTTGAACTTTGTGACCTTTCAAGAGTGTTCTGTTAAACTCTGCCCCCTCACAAGAAGGTTCTGTTAAGCTCCAACCCCTCTCAGGAATGTTCTGTAACTCTGAAAGGGGAATTTTGCCTCTGTAGTTCAAGCAGGACTCACTACAGGAAATTACTTAAAATTTTCTTTGTTCAGAATGTCCAGGCCTGTCCCACCTCACAAGCCTGGACATGCCCTAGCCAACTTCCACATCTCAGGAATGTCTTTGTCTCTAAAGTAGTTTTATCTTTCTGCCCAGATGCAAATGAGGTATTAACCCCATATTTTGAATTACCCAATGAACCTGTTGCCAGTATTATATGTGAGCCACTGCCATGTTTGATTCTGCCTGTTAATCCATAATCAAATTCTGTAACCAATGAATGTACACAGAGAGTACCTCACTTGTAAAGCCGCCTCCCAAAGTGTATATCTGCTTTGTTCAAGCGTTGGACAAGGCCAGTCTCCCTCATGAAATAAAGCTTACTTTGTCTCCAAGGCTCCTGGTGTGCCTTCCATCCTCTCGGACTAGTGGTAATGAGCTTTATCAACCAAACGGAAACTTTGCCGTTTCAACTCCAACCCTTTACTTCAGCTACATTCTGTAACTCCCGCCCTCCCTGCTTCATTGAGCATGCTCACCTACCTGTAGATCCCTATATAAGGAAGCTCTCATTTCTTGTAGAGTGCTCAGACTCCTCTGAGCCTAGCCAGCATAATAAAGGGGGTTTTTTTCCACCTCTTCAACTGACCATCAGATTCTCGAGACTTCAAATTATGAGACCTGTGTTCCAGAACCACCACACTGAGCTGTAATGCTTAGCAGTGCCTCAGAGCAGTGACACTTAGCTGTGACACTGAGCTGTAACACTTGGCCATAGCACTGAGCTGCTCTGCTCTACCGCAATAGTATAACTCCTTCATTGTTTCCACCCAATTCTGTCTTCTGGTTGGGATCTGACCCCACTAATGGCTACTTCCAACCTTTAAATGGCCTGCTTTGTGACATCATTCAACCACGAAACCTACTACTACCTGGAACAACCTTGGGGTTTGCAAGGAGCTGTCTGTAAATAAGTTTGGATCATTACAAGTGACCTTCACACTTGGAGTCAACTCTTTGGCTTCAGTCACCCAGACATTCTCTAGTACCTTCTCCTCAAGGATTACATGTACAATTGATGTTTGCTTTTCTCTGACTATGTAAGGTAAGGAGAGATAATTTTAAAGGTTTTTTATTAGACTTCTTTGCCTTAAAGTTGGTATGTAGTAGAGTCAAAGCAGCTTGGAAAAATGCAGGAAGGTATTAAACTACAAATCTGGAAACCCAGTTTCACATATGGTTTTGATGTTTCCTACATATGTCACTTTGAACATATGGTTTACTTTCTCACAAAATTGTTTTCTTACCTGTTATATGATGACAGACTGCCCATGCACTTGTCCCTTTCTTCTCTAATATCAGCTCTTAAGGGGCATGCATACAGCAAATGAAATTAGAGACTTCTTGAGTTTGTTTCAAGAGTAAGAAAGGAAAAAAACCTATGTGAGGTAGAAAACTAGCACTATATACAAAGATGTATCATTGGTAACAGTCTTCCTCCACTAATATTTCCACTTCTAGTGTTGTGCTATTCAAAATGCAATAGTCACATGTTTTGGAGACTATCTAAACTAGGTGGAAAGATGTATGAGGAGACAGGAGGAAAAAGATTAGGCTATAAGCATGCAGATATAGGGAAAGTAAGTTTGGGATTGTTCCCATTAAGGCCAACAAGAATCAGAACTACATGGGTGGGTAGGGACAAAATATAAAAAAGGAGGGAGCAGTAAATTTTTAAAAATGAAAGAGATAGAGAACATGACATTTTCTAGAAAAAAACTAGTTTGGGAGTAATCCAGAGGACTAAGGATTTCTTTCTTTATTTTTTTGTTTGTTTCTTTCTTTGGTACCGGGGGATCGAATTCAGGACCTTGTGCTTGCAAGGCAGGCATGATACCACTGAGTTAAATCCCCGGCCCAAACTAAGGATCTCAAATGTACACAGAAAGAGCATACAGTTCAATCGCAGAGAAGGGCAAAATGAGGTTGATTTAATAAATGCTTAGATTAAGGGACTAAGAAAATTAAGGCTTGATAGGGTATTGCCAGGAAAAAGCAGCTTATAGCAAAGTCATTCTATTATTTAGGTTTTTTAATTGCCTCTTTCAACACATTTGACACAATACTTTTGAAGATGAACATTTTAGAAATGTTTTAGAAATGATTCTTTCTATAAACATGCTAATGAAAGTTGTTTTAGAAAGATAGGGAAACTGAATTATCAGTGTTCTACGTAATTTTTAAAAAACTACATGGATTCTTAAAAATGGTGTGTCCTAGAATGTATCAAAAGGGCACATTACTTTATGTGATAAGTAAATTTCAAGTGAACACTGCTTTATATCTTTACAACAGTTTGGTTTATTAAACAGGATATTTCCTACAAACATAGTCATTAACATACATAGTTATTAACAGTTTTGAAACCTAAAAATCAAAAGAAATACCTACTTAAGGATTAAAAAGTCAAGCCCACATCTCTGATTCCACATTTATTTAAAACAATTTTGAGAACACCTTTGAGATGTTCTGGATCTCAAATTTAAAAGAATTGTTTTAGTTCCTGTATAACCAGCTACTCAAGAAATGAGGCAGAAAGATAATAAGTTGAAGCCAAGATTGGACAAATTAGTAAGACCATATCTCAAAATTTAAAAACTGAAAAGAGCTGAGAATGTAGCTCAGCTGTAAAGCAGCCCTGGGTTCAATCTCCAGTACTTGGGGGGTGGGTATTTTAGGCTGCGGCTGTAACCAGTGGCAGAAAACTTGCCTAGCATGTGCAAAACTCTGGGTATAATCCCCAATACCAAAAAAGCAAACAATCTATAAAAAAAAAAAAATCAGGGTTCTCAAAAAGGCAAATAAACCAAACAAAAAACAACTCCCCCTCACACACAATTTTTCATTGTGAAGGACCCTAGTTAGCAAGACAGACTCCATATTGCTGCTTGACCCACCTGCCTGCCCCTTAGATGAACTCAGAAGGAGGAAACTTAGAAACCTCCTCCCCTTAGAAAGTCTCTTTAGAAATAGCGATTAATCAACTATTGTTTTAATAGCAGGACGTTCCGCTTCTGTACCTTTCGCTTGCTTTGCTAGTTCTATCCCATAGGGGGGCCTAGAAACTGTTGGCCTCAAAGATGTATAAAACATGTTTGTCTCCCCTCAGGTCGGGGCTCGAGTCCGATGCTCTGCTCGAGTCCCAGCTGGTAATAAACTCCTGTGGGGATTTCATATTGGTCTCTGTTTTTTGTTTTTTTTTTGGTACCGGGGATCGAACTCAGGTCCTTGCGCTTGCACAGCAGGCGGCAAAACCACTGAGCTAAATCCCCGGCCCTCTGGTTGGTTCTTTCTCGCTGGGTCTAACAATTGTATTATAGTAATGAAGTGATTGTTCTGAGGACGACATTTTCTTGAATGTTGAAGATAATTACAAACTAGGTTTTAAGGATGAGTAAAAACTTTCATGATCTTTTCAGTCTTTTTTCTTCATGTTAAATAGATACATTAATTGAAATATCTATCCAGAAGAGTTAATGTTTGGTAGTTGATGAGTAATATTCAGAGAAATATGAATCACCGCAATAATAGAATTCCCATACAGTTACTGTTTGACCTTGATGTACCAGTTGTTGTTGCTGTTGTTAGCTCGTGTTTGAAATTGGGGTCTTGCTAGGTTGCCCAGGCTGGCCTAAAATTTCTTTCTTTCCCCCCATTAAGTTTATTGTTACATTTTAGGTTAAAATACATTTACACCCAAGTTCGATCCCTGGTACAAAAAAAAAAAAACATTTACATACATCATTGGGATCTTGTACCATTACATGAGTATCTTGGTTCTTTTTTTTTCCCCTTCCCCTGCCCTCCCTTCACCCCCTCCACCCTTCCCTATTTGCAAAGACTTTGTTTCCATTTTTTTCTTTTCTCATATTTTTCCCTTCTTTCCTTTCCCCTACCTCTCCCACTTCCCCTGCTTCTTTAGACCTTTTCTTCCTATTACACAGTATCAATTATACATTATTAAAATTAAAATATCAAGACCTAGGAGACATTACCACACATTTTACAGAATTTAAAAGGATATAGAAAGCATATTACAAAAATGTTTTGAAATAAATTTGACAACTTCTAAGAAGTACCTTGGAAGACAAATTAAAGAAACTAACTCTGGAGGAAATATAAAATTTGAATAGCACCTATTGAAGAAAGTATATTCCTGGGCTGGGGATTTAGCTCAGTGGTTTCGCCGCCTTCTGCGCATGTGCAAGGACCCGAGTTCGATCCTCAGTACCAAAAAAGAAAAAAAGTACAATTAAAAAAAAAAAAAGAAAGAAAGTATATTCCTAGCTTGAAAACCTACCTATATGACAACAACAGGCTCATATACATTTTAACTGATAAATTATATCAAACATTTAAAGCAGAAAAAAAAAAGGAACACTTCTCCCCTCATTTTAGGAACTCAACATTGTGCTAATCCTAAAACTGGATAAAGATAATAGAAGAAAAAAGTATGAACATAGATAATTTGTTTAATAAAACAAACTATTAGAAGTCAGATCTGGCAGTATGTAGAAAGTGGTTTTGTTATAGGGATGGCAGTGTTGGCTCAGCATTGGAAGATCCACCCCCAAAAGTCATCATTTTAAGAGAGGAAAGGAAAAAGCCATATGATCCTGTCACTAGTTGGAGAAAAAGTATTGGACTAAATTCCACAGCTGTTCATGGTAAAAGCTATCAGGAGACTAGAAGTAGAACAGAACCTTCTCAACAGATTAAAGACATGTACTCCATCCTTCCAGTGAGAATGCCTTGTGTAAATGGAGAAGATACAATGCTTTCTCCTTAAGGTGGGGAACAAGGGCAGATATGCTTACTCTTTATCTGTCCATTAAACTTTGAAACCTAGGCCCAACCAAAATAGTCTGGCAATAAAATGACACAATTAGGATAGGATTGGCAAGGTAGAAGTAAAATCTTTATATGTAGATGAAATGATGATCTACAGAGAAAATACTAAGAAATCTCTAGGAGCTCCTAGAACTTGTATTTGAATTTAGCAGGATTAGAAAACACAAGGTATATATAAAAATTCAGGTCTGTGTATACTTGCTCTAAATGAAGAATTGGATATTGAAATTTAAAATTTACGTAGGAGTACAAAGGACCTAGAAAAGTTAAAACAAAACAACAATAACAACAACAAAAAACAGTGTTGGAAGAGGTTTAGTACCTAATCTTAAGACTTCTTCTAAAGCTACAGTAATCAATGACCTAGAATTTCTGGCATGAAGCAATCTTCCTGCTCCAGCCTCCCAAGTGCTGGAATTACAGACATTCACTGCTATGCTCACCATAATAGCAGGTTTTATTGGAATACATAAATCACGACAACCTAGATGTTCACATTTATTGTTTTTTGACACTTGGTACATACTTTTTACTGATATTATTTTTCTGTATGTACTAGTTTATTCAAAATCACCTATTTTGGGGTGTTTTTGGTTTATTATATTTACTAATATAAAAATGTTTTCATAATATTGCATGTTAACACAACTTCATTTATTAGTAAATTCACTATGCTTTGATGCTTTTACTTCAATTGTCATTAATATCTATACAGTATTCTTTTGAGTTTTGTGGTGTTATCTTTTCATTTTTGTCTTTCAGTCTTCCCAGAACTGACTATATTTTCATCCATATAAATCATATGTAATATGTTACTTTTGTTCATGGCTGAATTATCACTATCATTGTTATTATGACCATTTTATGGATGAGTAACATGAAGGTCAGAAGGTTTAAGGTACTTTTTCTTGAGAAACCAAAAGGATTTCTTGAGAAACTCTCAGTCATTTTGACTTAGAGGTTAGGCTTGAAGAGGATAAAGAATGCCTCTTTAAATTTACCAACCAGTGAACTTTGTAAGTGAACTTGAAGTGGCATATAACTTTGTCTTGTCCATAGCCAGGTGTGCTGAGGTAGTGGGGTAGGTTTCCATGTGACCAAAGAAAATACATAGAGATGGCTTTCTGAGAGATAAAGTTTACTAAGGCTAACAGGCATTAACAGGGAAGCACAACGATATTCAACATTTTTAAGGGAGATCCACAAGAAGCACATATGGGTTCAGTAGTACTTCCTGGCCAAATTCTATTGGATGTGCAAACAGGTCAACCTTCCCACCTATCAAAACCCAAGAGAGAGACCATACCAATCAACAGCAGGCCCAGAAAGTTTAGTCGTGCCTGGATAGGGGCACTGCTCAGCAGCTCTCTAGGTTCTACAGGAAGGGTTGTACTTTTTTGTTTTGTTTTTAGGCTGAACTATGTATAGTGACATCATTAGCTTTCTTTGTATCATTTCATGACCAGCATTCCAAAGAACAGCTGACTTAGCACATGGGCCAGAAGGCCACTCCAACAGACAATAGTAGTTTGCTAAGTTAGCAGTGTTCTTCAGACATTTCTTCAGATATTCTGGTCCCTGTCTGCTAAGGATTGCCCCTTGAGTTGGCAAGTCTTGGGAATGAAAGAGAAGTATTTTCAGGGCCATGGTACCAAATGTCCCAATTTTCTTAGGGATGATATATTCCAACCCCACCCCCGTGTGCCTGAATGCTCTTACAATTTTATCATGCCCATCTTCCACAGTGTCCCTCAGGTGGCACACTAGGATGTGCACTGAAACCAAATCCAAAAAACATCAATACAGAGGACAACAGATTGTGACAAGCCCTGTTAACACAATAAGCAGACTGAATAAAATATTTTTCCATGTAGTCAGTATCTGCAAGTACAATGGTAACTCTGCATTGACTGGTGGGAGTCCATCCCACATTTACAGAGGGTAGAGAGATGTTACTGCCATTATTTCTTTCAAGACAGAGAGGAATTCCTCCTCTTGCTTCCACCTGTATGACACTTAGCCACCACAGGTCATCAAACAAAGTATCCTGTAGCATTGGTTTGCCTATGTAAAAGACATATTTAGTGTCATTAAACAAAGGTAAATTTAAGTCTAAGTCCTTAGAGCAATTGTCCAGTTGTGCCCCAGCACAGTGAGTGTTACTCCATCATAACATCTGCTTCTATTGCATCAAAGCAGATGGTTGTATTGTCATAGGAGAATAGTAGAAGAGGACAAAGACAGCTCACTATACAACCAGCAATCCATTTAGTTATTGTTTTTCTGGACTACCATCAATACTAGCTTTGTATTGCCTTTGGTCCATAAAATTATGTTTAGTGTGAATATCTCAAGATCGGGATTTTCCACTGGCAGTTTTGTTAAATCAGGCTCAGGTTGACTTCACCAAACTTAGGATTTTGACAGAATCCTTTCTGCTAGTTACCAACAGGCATTCATGCATAAGGACCCTCCCTTCACAACCTCTTGGTTTTAATTTTTGGTAGGGCTGACACAAGTGACTCCATCTTGATTTTGACAGTGCTCATGCTTTCCCTACGTCTTCTCTTATCTGTATGAGCTTCTTTCTGAAGGCATCACTGATCAATCATTCTGTAGTTACTTTTTTAAAAATTGTCCCTTGTTGCCAGATACTGTTCTGGTTGTTGTTCTTAATAGGTCAGATACTGGAGGGGAAGTGATTGATAGTTGAAAGTCAGTGTCATAACCCTTTTCACTACACTTGAACAACAAAGAGGTTTAGAAGGAGGAGCTCTTAAGCTAAGACTACCTGGAGTATGACACAAAACTAACAAGAGCAAAATCAATTCAGTTTGTATAAGTTTTGAACCAAGACACAATTTTTGTTAATAACAATTTTTACCAAAGATAATCAAGGAAAGAACCAATTTGTCGGTAGTACTTCAGAGTCTTTCCCATGAATCTGATTGTAAAAACTTCAGAGAAGAATCAAAACTGTGAATGAAAAAAGACTTAGAACAGCCATGGTTAGAATTCTGATGAATGTAGTAACTGATGGGATAATTCAGTTACTTACAGACATTCCTTGTTTAACGACTAAGTTCTGTGCCTGCAATTGGGTAATTAAATGAATCTGTTGCTAAATGAGGAACTGTATAAAACATATGCATTACAATATTCAGAATGAAGAAATGGTAAACTCCAAGTTAATGACTGCTTTTATTTACATAACTCTTGCATACACTACTGTAATCTACACAGAACATAAAAGTACAGTACTGGATAGTACAATCAGAAAAACTTACAGTACTATACTATATAAACAAGATGTATACAAAAAGACACTGAGGCTCTATAAACAAGATATACAGAGCTGTACAAAAAAAAGACAAGTCCTAAGTCCGAGCAGTGGATCGTAAGTCCAAAGAGTCGTTAAACCGGTAGGTCATTAAATGGGAAACATCTCTATTTTATACAATATTTTAAGATAACAATCACGACTGACAACATTACATCAGGACCAATGGGATTTTTTGGTTTACAGATATATTCCTCAGATGATTAATATCCAATCTTTTTGATTATCAATGTGGCACTGCAACAATTCTATGCAGGCTAACATCAACAAAAAAAATTAAAAGATAATTTTAGACTTCTCACAAGTTTAGGAAACCATGTTAATGACTACAGAGTTATTACTTAATGAACTTACTTATATCAAAAAGGCACAGATCAGGTTGTAGGTGGCCAAATTGTTCAAATGGCAGATTTTCCCCCATGTAATTAAAAACTAGCAACAGCAGAAAACATGAAAAATTATCCTGAAAAAAAAAATCACAAAAGTTTGTTTCCTAGGGCAGCTCTTCTTAATTTTGTACAAGGAGATAAATGTTAAACATAGAGGATTAGACTCTAGTATCATATCAGCACATCAAAATTCGATTTTAGAAAACTCTCATACTATAATTATAACCAACTTAATCACACATAAAAATGTTTCTCCTATGTTTCATTCTCTACAAATTTTGTGTGACTTAATGTAACCTTCTGATTTTGCCCTTATCTTTCCTTGTCCTTTTTGGAGCCAACTAATCATTTTACTCTAGGACAAAGAATTATTTTACCATACAAAATCTTTCCTTACCAAAAATGTATCCTCACACACACCGGTTTTCTGTTGTACCCTTACAGCTACTTGGATTTTTTAAAGGCCTATTTTTTTCTCCTCCTCCTCCTCCTCCTCCTTCTCCTTCTTCTTCTTGCAAGCCTTTGAGTCTTTACGTGCTCTTGAATGAGAAAAATATCTTAGTACAAACAGAATGCAGCAGAAGAGCAAGTTAACCACATGAATACAGCTTTTAAATTATCCCAAGATGTTTATAAATGTTGTAGTCATGTCAACTAAATAAAAACATCAACTTGCACCACAGAACTCAGCTGAGATGTTCCTCAAAGGCCTCTTGTTAACTCTTCATAGGCTTCCAGGAAAGTTTGCTTCCTCTCCTTTGGCATCCTAAGGCAGAAGTCAACCCCAGCTTTCTTTTTTCTTTTCTTTCTTATGTATGTATGCATTTATTTTTGAGACATACATCTTGATATGTAGTTCAGGCTGGCCTTGAATTCACTGTGTAACCCAGGTTGGCCTCAGTCTCACAACAATCCTCCTGCCTCAGCCTCCTGAGTGCTGGGATTACAGGCATGTGCCACCATGCCTGGCAGCCTCAGTTTTAACAGGCACCAGGAACCAGTGAAGGTTGTGTGCAAGTAGAAAAATATATTTTCACCTGCTATCCAGCTTTCTGTGCTGCTATCCAGCCTGACTTATTCTGTACAGCAGCTTGGGGTTAGGCTCCAGCTAGAGCTCAGTCTGGTAGTCTGGGCCTTCCTCCTCTGTCTCCATCTGTTGTTGTTGTTGTTGTTGTTTTGGTACTAGGGATCGAATTTGGGTCCTTGTGCTTGCGAGACAGGTGGCAGAACCACTGAACTAAATCCTTGGCCCTCTCTGTCTCTATCTTTACGGCAATGTCACCCCTAGCACTGGCACTGTAATAAGTTTTTCCCAGTTGTCTTTCACCTATACTTACACGGGAAATGTTTGAGCTTGAAGCTCATGCTCTACTGCCATGAGGAAGGGGCATCTCATGGCCATTGTAGTCTCACACAGATCTTTCTTTTTCTATAAATCCTATTGCTTGCTAACATTTCCCCTAGTCTCAGGGGACTTTTCAGGGAATCCCCATACACAGTGGTTCCCAAAAAAACATAATGGTAGCCATTTCTTATCACATGGAAGTGGATAAACATCCCAGGATTTCTCTCCCAGCTTTTATAGTAACCATAATCTTAGCATCCACAGGAATTTCTCTGGCATCCTGGCTGGTGAACCAGTTGTGTCAACCATAAACAAGATGTGCTGAGACTATAGAGGAGGTTTCCAAGAGACCAGGGAAAATACTCAGAGACAGATTTTGTGAGAGATAAGGTTTAGTAAGGCTAACAATGGGCATTAACAAAGAATCACAATGGTAATTATGAATCATTGGCAAGGGAGGATCCACAAGAAGCACATATGTATCCAAGAGTACTTTTTGGCAAAATACCACATACGGTACATAGAAGGCCTACAGCTCCACCCAGCCAAAATCCTACAGAAAGTGGACATAGATTAATAGCCATGCCTGGGCAAATCTCATGCCAGGTGTATACAAGTCAAGAGCCCCACCCAGCCAAAATCCCATAGGAGGTTATGTATAGGTCAATAGCTGTACCTGCCCAAATCCATGGGAGGCATACCAAAGTGTCACCCAGCAGGTTTAGTGGTGCTGAGTTACATGAATCAATCAGGGGCTCTTGAGTTTTCTGCAAGGAGGAAGTTTTACATATTAAACTTCATAGCACTGAAATCATTAGCTTCTTTGTTTTATTGTATGACCAGCATTTCAAGAACAGCTGACTTAGAGAATGGGCAGGAAGGCAGCTCCTACACTGAACATTAGTTTGTCCAGTTCACAGCATCATTCAAATAACAATTCCCCTGACATTCTGGTCCATATCCTCTTAGAATGAATGCCCCTTTGACTTGACAAGGGTCTTGGGAATGGAAAATAGCTTTTCAGGAACATGGTGCCAAAAGTCCTAATTTTAATCAGGCATCACAGAGACAAGAACAAAATGAGAAATGGAAGATAACACTGACAATAGCAATACTGTTTTCTAATGAACAACAAAAATGTCATTGTTAAAAGTTCTTTTTCTTTCAGTTTTAAGTCTTTGCTCAGCACAAAGTCCTGGCAAGTAAGACAGGTTCTATAACCTGGTCCAAAAACTGAAATTATGGGAGAATTTGGACAGGTTAATGGGACCTCTCTGACTCCATTTCCTCACTCCTAAACTGATAAAGTTACAACTACTCTATGAATTTCCTAGGTCAGAAAGGCTTCAATGCTACAACTCATAGTTATGACTTGGGCAAATGCAGGCTCAAGGGCAGCACAGGGTAGAGAGAGGCTGTTTCTGGACAGCACGTACCACCAGGACCCCCTGGGTCTTTGGTGAACAAGGTGGGAGAAAAGGCAGTCATTGGAAGAATTCCAAACTGCTCCAGCACTTAATGGCCATTTGAAAGTGTTTCATTGCTGGAATCTCAGAGGCTTCCTGAAAGCAAGGGCCTTAGTTAGATAATACTGGTACTCAGATATAGTAAGAATTTGTCACTCTTAACCATGTTTTCATGGCCCTCTAGCTTCCTACTGAAAATGTCCAAAACTCACCATCCCTTGGAACCTCCAGTTCTCTGCAGTGCTCTCACTTCCTGTGATGAGCAAAGCCACTTCCTTAATGGCTTGCAACTCCTCCAGAGTCTCAGCTCCAGCCCTCAGTTTGGCTCTCGGCCTCTGCCACCTCATCCCAGCCAGTTCCAGCTAGTGCCTATCTTTACCAACATTCTAGCACAACTAGGTTTTGGGGGGTTACTGGGCACAGCCAGATGTCAGTTCCAGCTATCTCCTATCCAGGTATGTGGCAGTGAGATATCACAGGAAGCTCTGAAAACAGGTCTCCCTCACTGGAGGCCTTCACGCTGACTGTCACTGACCACAGCACAGCAGGTGCTTCCACACCCAAGATGGCCCATGCCAATGCCATCATCCCAGTGTATCAATCACTGTCTGCCAGCCTGGCCCAGGGGACACCACCACACATTCTGAATCAGGGACACAGCCTGCACCCTGCCTACCAACAAGAAAGCCAGATGTGTCATACACAGGGATCAGGGCCTCTGCCCCTCAACCAGAAATAGTAACGGTGCTAATGGAGGCTCAGCCCACAAGTGTCCGAACACCAGTGTCCACTTCTTTGCCATGTACTAGTCTGGGTCTGCACAAGCCAGAACAGAAAATTTTCCAAGGTAAGTACCAAGAGCAAGAAGGGAAAAGAATCAAGTTAGCCTGATTCCTAGAATCAGGACTTAGAAGGATCAATCTGCAGCTGGGTAGTGATGAATACACAGATAGGCAGAATTTCAGTCCTGAAACTTTATCCACTACTACTAGCTTTGTTCAGCTCACTCCACTTCCAGAATCTATAAGGTGGAAATGCAGAACACCACAATGGCCATCCCTGCTGCACTGAAGAGACCCCCAGGAACAGACTGAGGCAGGCCACACTTTTCAGCACCCTTGTGGATCAGTCCCCCTATACCACTACTCCCTAAACAATTCCCTTTCTTCATCCATTGCTATGGTCCCTTTGGAAGACACTTTGAAACTTATGGTGATAAGGACAGTTTCATTTTCCTCCATTTTCACCAAATTTTAAGACCCTGTGTTCCAGAGATGCTATACATAGTATGTGGCTCAGTAACTGTCCTATTCATATATTTCATGAGGAAGACCTCTGCCCTCTCTCCTAGTCCACAGCAAGAAGTGTTCTTATACTGGCCAGGGCATGGAAGGCAGTGAGTGGACCTGAAGGAGGGCACCACACTAGAGGAATACTGTCTCTGAGGGTGTCCATGTATGAGTTCTTGCACACATGTGGGTGTGGGGTTGTGGACGTGTGCATGTGCATATGTGCATGTGTGTTTGTGGATATGGATCAGGTATGGTGTGCTTGGATGGAGCCCAGGGCCTGATGCATAGTAGGCAGTGCTCTACCATTGTGCCCACATGTCATGTTCTAAAAATCACGTTTCCTTTGACTAATAACAATCCTATGACATAAAAGGAAAGCCTTGAAACAAAGACATCAGGTGATAAGCAAAAAGAAACAAAACAATAACAATGTAGGGTCCTGTCCATGGTCCTTAAGAAGCGCTCATGGAAATGCCTTGCTGAGTTTGGTAGGATGCTGATTGTACTGATGTGTAGGAGAAGCACCTCACTTGGCAGGGACTGACTTTTTCCTTGATTCCTTTGCAGTGAGAGGAATTTCTCCAGAGCCAGAAACATCCTTGGGACTGCAAGCCCGAAGTCCCACATAGTGTCTGCCAAAACCTCCAGGATTTCCCATGCCCGGAGGTAGCAGAAGTATCCAGACTCTTGAGAGGAGTCCACCCCAAGCCTGGGGAAAGTTTAATGAAAGCTCCAGTACAGAGTTCTCATCTCTTGGCACTGGTTCCAAGCCAGGAACAATCAGAAACGAACAGGGATGAGATGGAAACCAAGCTTTCAAAGCCTCTGGATGCCTACCAGATCCTACCAGGTGAGCAAGATCTTCCGCCACTCCCCTTAGCAGTCCTTGAATCTCACAAGCTGCTGGCCCCCATTAAACCTCTGAGCCAAGAAATGCCTGGTCTGAAGATGCCCACTACGGAAAGAACTGCCTGACTCTCAAGGACACAGGGACACTTGACAAGGGAAGTGAGTCCAACCCAGATTGGGCAGATGTTGCTGCCCTGGTGGAAGACATTCACTTTCCCCAATTTTTCCACTCTTTGGATGCTCTTGACCAATTCAGTCATCCCGCAGCCATTGAAGCCAAAGATGCTGGACCCATCAAGGTGAATCAGTACAGAAATCAGGTGTTGCAAAAAGTCTCTTGCACCAAATAAGGAAGAACAAGCAAAAAGCCTCTAGGTCAATCACTGGAGCTCCTGAGGCTAAAATCCAGTTGAAAGACCCTGAGGGTCTGTCAGAGGGAGAAGTGCTTGTTTCCAGTGCAGTGGCCAGTGACAGGGCTCCCATGAACACTGCCAAGCATTCCAACAGCAAACCTCTGAGAGCAACATCCAGCAGGACCAGGCAAACTAAGGGCTGTGAGCAAGCAAGGGCCAAGAGGACCAGAGAAAAAAATTTCAGGAAAGCCTAAGAGAGGAAGCAGTTGGGGCATAAAGTCAAGGGAGAAGAGAAGCCAACCATTCCCAGCACAAAGCATGAGAGAAACCAAACTGTGCCTGGCCAAGAGGTCTTTTAAAAACTTCACAACTGCGTAGGCACGCACGTGCTGGAGTTGGTGCAGGTTTTCCACACAATGGGGAAGAAGACTGACAAGAGAGCTGGCTCTTCTCCTCCCAGGCCCTGGGAACCTTGAGCAGCACCAAAGACCCTAAGCCATCACCAACAACAAATGGTGTCTGGGGCCCTCATGGGACTTCCTTATGGGAAGGGGTCCAACAGGGCTCAGATCAGTTTTCTGAGACCACATGGCAGCCTGAAAAAAGGGTTCCATCTCCATCCCTGTGTCAGCTACCACCACCTGGGAAGGTCAAGTTAATACCTTTACCTTTTCCCAGCCCAGACAAGCCTCAAGAGTGACCCAGGTCTGGAAGGCCACAGCCCCAAGCCTCACATTGGCCCACTGTAGCTTACCCTGCCTGACCTTCTGCTATGAGCACAACTCAGCCATCCCAACCAGCTGCTGCCAACACGTCTCCCATGTCACACCTGCTCAGCCAATCCCGGACAATGTCAGCCAACTGGGCTCAATCACCTCAACTCAGCTTGGCTTTCCTCAATCTGCCACTTCTAGGCCTGCACCCCATGAAACATCACCTTCTGCCTCTTTCTGGTGGGAGCTTGTTGCCACTTCTGAGACCAAGCACTGGTCCCTAAGCCACAAAGCCCATTTCTCCTTCAAGATTTCCACTAACAACCAATTCCCAGGAGGGAACCCAGTATTCCTGAACCAGTAATATCAAGCCCTGATACAGAAGAACAGAGGCCAGAACTCGAAGCCAGAAAGAGGCAGGCTCAGCAAGAGTTGGAGCTGGCCACCAAACACACCTCTCCAGGGAAACTGCAGTTTTGCAGGCAGAGGGAGAAAGACAGGGAAATTGTTCAGTACTACGGGTACACAAGATGAGGTAGGGATGGGTGGAGGGGTTGAAGGGAGGGTAGGGGAATGGGGAAAAAATAAGAACCAAGACATATTATGTAAAGGTGCAGATTTCCAATGATGAATGTCATTATATTGTATACCTAAAATATACCAATAAAATTAAGAAAAAAATAAGGGCTGGGGATTTAGCTCAGTGGTGCCAATGCCTGCCTTGCAAGCACAAGGTCCTGAGTTTGATTCCTGGTACCAAAAAAAATTAATAAAAAAATAATAATAAAGATGAGAGCTGCTAAGGCTGTCCATGGCACATTGATTACCATGTGGCTTTCCACACAGATATATCAGAGAGATGGATAGAAACATGTTTATTCTGATATACTGTTTAAGATTAATATAATCATATACCACTCAAGAGAGAAGTGCAGAAGAAGCAATAGATAAGAAATAAAGCCCCTTAGGGCAGGGGATTTAGCTCAGTGGTTCCGGCGCCTGCCCTGCAAGCCCAAGGACCCGAGTTTGATCCCTGGTACCAAAAAAAGAAAAAGAAATAAAGCCCCTTTTTGAGTTCTGAGATGCTGTACACTGTGAGGTTTTTGGTACAGATGGGGATCAATGGCTGCATTAGAAAGGACTAACTTAAAGCTAGATAGGAGAACATGGGCACACAGGATAAGAATTGAAGAGAAAGAAATAAGATTATAGTCTAGGAAAGCCAAAGAAGAGAGATCAGATGGGCTTAGAAGAATCAGGAATGGGTTAAAATGGCAGGAGACACAAAGTCTGGTGCCAGGATAAAAGGAATACAATTTGGAAAAGGTATAAGATCGCATAAGAAGGGTGTGGGTTGATCTAAGGAATGGCAAAAAGTCTCTCATGGAAAAAGGCCTCTTGTCTCCTGACCAACCAGGCAGGCATGTCAGAAAATACAATTCAGGACACTTCTCCAACATGCTTGGGTCACCTAAGATTACAGTTGGAAAGGTGACTCCCAAACACTGGGAAAGCTACAAGGTGGGTGGCCAGGGTTCACATCAATCCTGGAGGCAGCAGATACACTGAGACCTGGTCAAGTGAGGTACAGTAGCATAAGACCCACCCAGAACACAGCCTGGAATAGAAATCAACTGGTTTCAAAATTTAGTAGCCAATTTGGTCACTCTGTATTTTGGCCTATGAAAACAGTCTTCTTTCTCCCATTCCTATTTGGTTAGGTTTCCCCCAGCAAACATACAAGCTATAAGAAGAATGGATATATGCAACTTGAATTTTATAAAAAAGACATTTTCTCCCATCCAAGTGCTAACCAGGCCCAACCCTGCTTAGCTTACGAGATCAGGCGCATTCAGGGTGGTATGGCTGCAGACAAAAAAAGACATTTTCTTAACCACAAATCTCATGTATGAAATATAAAAAATAGGGCCATTTTAAAGATCTTCAATGTAGTTTTATCCTTCTATGCAATGTCCCTGGAACATACTGAATACTGAGGAGTGGATGAACTGTTACAAATAGTTAAATGAAAAACAAATATTTCTCAAAGAAAGCCCACTATTTGGGCTGTTTTATCTCAATATTTCCAGATGCATCCCTTTATAAACTTTTGGCAAAAGATTACTTTATTATAGTTTCAGGGTTTTTCTCTTCTCTTAAAAATTTATTTTTATTTTTATTTTTTGTTTTTTTGTGTTTGTGCTGGGCATGCATGCTACCATTGAGTTACAACAGAGCCCCAAGAGTTTTTGTTTTCTGGGGAGGTGTGTGTATGATGGGGGGGGCAGTTGTATCTTATGCTGGAACAAATATAAATTTTTTTTCAAAATCTGAGAAATTCATTACATTTTTACCTGTAACTTTTATAAAAAAGGAAAAATAGTGACAATCCTCATACTTACATTCAATTGTATTTTCTGGCCTCATGCTGTCTACAACAATCAAATATCTAACAAAACAATATACTTTGAGTTGTTTATATCTATGAAAAAAAGTTTTTTCAAAAAAACCATTTGCCAGGGGCCAGGGATTTAGCTCAGTAGTTCCGCTGCCCGCCTTGAAAGCGCAAGGGCCCGAGTACGATCCCCTGTACCAAAAAAAAAAAAAACTAGTTGCCAGGCATGGTGGTACATGCCTATTATCCCACCAGCACTTGGGAGGCTGAGGCAGGATGATCACCATGAGTTCAAGGCTAGCTTGGACTACATAGTGAGTTCAAAGCCAGACTGAACTACATAAGACTCTGTTTCAAAAAAAATTTTCACTTAGGGCTGAGGATTTAGCTCAGTCATGCTGTGCCTGCCTGGCAAGTACAAGGTCCTGAGTTTGATCCCCATACCGAAAAGAAAAAAAAAACTTCACTTAAGAATGGAGACAAAAATCCTAAAAAATAATATGCCATAACCACAAAAGTATTTATTCCCAGAATATAAGGATGGTCCAACTTTTAAAGGGCATATATTGCCAGACATTTAGCTCAGTGGCACCGTGCCTGCCTTGCAAGTACAAGGTCCTGAGTTTAAGCCCTTGTACCAAAAAAACCCCCCAAAAACAAAAAAAACCAAGCAATTAAAGGGCATATATTACTGTAATAATTTAACTAAAAAAAGAAAATACAGGTTCAAACTGGCAGATGTTTAAGAGGCATTTGAAAAAATTCAAGGCATTTTTGATAAAAATTCTTTATATACTCTAAACAGAGCAATAATTCCTTAATATGACTGAATACTTACTGTGAACCAACAACAAGCAAATGATAAATTGGGGAAAATACTAATATCATATCTTAAAAATCCCACATGCACCAGAAACAGGAGTCACCATCACTGTGAGCCATTTCCTTTTCTCTTTTTTGTTTGTTTTTTGTTTTTCAGGCTGGCCTTGAACTTGAAGCCATCTTCCTGCTTCTGCCTCTCAAGTGCTTGGATTACAGGTGTGCACCACATACCCAGCAGCCATTTCTTTCTTACTGTCATCTTCACTCCATCAAGTTCTAGCAATAATACCTAAATATCTCTAGAATATGACCACATCTTCCCACCAAAATGGCCACATCTTGGTCTAAGCTACTATTATGTTTCAATTCCTACAAAAGCCTCTGAACTGAGCTTGTTTCTATTTCATTTCTTTGCACTGCATTCTCCACTCAGTAGTAAAATGATAGGTTAAAAGTGCAAATTTGATTATGTTCTACACAATCACACCCCACACCCCCAAAAATCCAATGGGTATCCATTCTATATTTACTGTCTTTTTCCAACAAGCTTACATTAGTATTGCAATCCAGCAAAAATACAGTTAAATATAGTTTACCTCTGGATTTGGCACTCACCTGCAGATGAGGTAGTCAGTCCTGTTTAAACAATTATTATTGAGGACATCAGCAAGTTTGTCTACAAAACAAGAAATATAGAGTTGAGATAGATATACTAAAAGTAAGTTACACAATTTTCTGAAAAGTAACATGTATAAGTTACTATAACATTACCGTTACCCAAAAAAAGAATGTTTTTCAGGAACATACAGAATCACCAACCAGAAAACCAGTTTTCATTGCTTTTAGGGAAATTTGCATAGCCCCCTCCTCCTTAGACTCAATGATATAAACTGCAGAAGGCTTAATCAGGTATTGACAGCTAACATTGCACACAAACTCATTTATCTTAATATACAGTGCCCATCAGAATTGATTTAATCATAGAAAAAAGGGAGTGAAACAATAAGCTACAAGAATAAAATTTGTTTCTGAATGAAACAAATGAAATGCCTTTTTTACTATCTTCTTGCGGCCTCACAAAGCAATCACTCCACCACTGAGCTACAGACCAGACCAATCTTCACTTTTGGGGGGCGGGTACTAAGGATGAACTCAGGACCTTGCACTAGTGAGGCAGACAAGGTGCCA